AGAGAGTTCATTACATTTTTCATCTTGTCTTTTCCCTTTCTAGGATGCTGTTCTCCGGGGCCTTTGCCTGCCTCTCCTTGGTCCTCATACTTGGTGTAGGGGATTCTTTGCCTCAACACAACCCCCAGGTAGCCCAAATGGTCACAGACTTTGGGATGAAGGTATTTCGGGAAGTGGTCCAAACCTCTGGGGATGGCAATGTGGTCTTCTCACCCTATGGAGTAGCCTCAGTGCTGGCTATGCTGCAAGTGACAAGTGGAGGGAACACCAGGGAGCAGATCCAAGCTGCAATGGAATACAGCATTGAAGGTGAGAGACCTTCCTGGGAGGGAATGGGAGGGAAAGGGGGTGACTTGTGTGTCCTTGAGCAAGTGACTTAATGTCTCTAAATTTCTGTTTTCTCATCAATAAAATGATCTGGCTGAATCAGGCAATGTATAAGGTACCCTGGATGCTATTATATAATATTATTCACCTAGACTGAGGGAAGGCTCACACAGCAGGTGGCCAGGATAAACTCATGTGTTGCTAAGATACAGGGACTACAGCTGGTTTCTCTGACAACATCCACCAGAACTTAAACTTTGATCAGTCTCAGGGCAAGTTTGGGGCTTCCAAACACAAGCAGAAAAAAAAAAAAAGAACCCCCAGAGGTTATCTGATGAAGTGAGGCAGGAATAGTGATGGAGAAGGGATTAAGGGAGGGTATGAAATCTCCTTCTGTGGAGATGTATGAGAAGAGAGATGCTTGATCTGAAATGGGTTGGAGGTCATTCTGTCTGTGGCAGGATCCAACCATCCTAAGGAACCTCTGATTCTATAAGCTTGATGTGTCTCCTCTTTCCTGCCACTGTCTAGAGAAAGGTCTGGCCCCTGGTCTCCGAAAGCTCTACAAGGAGCTCATGGCACCTTGGAACAAAGACGAATTCAGTACAGCCAATGCCATCTTCATCCAGCGTGATTTGGAACTTGTCCAGGGCTTTATGCCCTACTTCTTCAAAGTATTCCGGAGCATGGTCAAGCAGGTGGACTTCACTGAGGGGGAAAGGGCCCGGTTCATTGTGAATGACTGGGTACAGAAGCACACAAAAGGTAAGAAGACCAGGAAAAGTAGAAATCTTATTTAAAACTTTGTCTCCTCATGCACTGACTCTAAGAACAGCTACAAAATGGTGTCTGGGGTAGTCCTTTATAGCCCCAGTGCAGAACATAAAGTAGGTGCTTAATGAAAGCTTGCTGGATGAATGAATGAACAAATGAATGAAATAGAAATCAGAATTAAGTATGACAAAACACAAAACAGCATACAAGGCAATAGTCGTGAGGTCTACCCAACAGCAGTGACCCTTATGAAACAGCCTGATCTTTACAAGGGCAGAAGACTGTATGATGGGTTTGAGAGCTTTTCTCACTATTTTTTGTAATGCTGAAGATAAAAGATTACATAGTAGAAGACAGAGGTGGAGGATAAATTGATCCACTTCAGACTCCCAGACAGACAATTGCAATCTAGTCTGACAAACAAAAAGGCTAATGTAATTTGAAACTACATCATAAGAGGAACAGCATTTTTCAAAGAAAAAAATAATACTCAGAATGTACTCTGCAGTTTAAAGTCAAATCTGCTGGAAATAATTTTTATTTAATTTAACATTAATCTCTATCCAAGTCATTTCTAGTTTAGAAAAAGGGATATCCAAAATGGTATAGACATGACTCTCTGCCCCAAAATGATCTGAAGTAACATATATAGAAATCTTGAACAAGGAAAAAATCACATATTAAAATCAAGTTTGGAGTTAACATTTCAGAATAGTCACCACTCAGTTCCAACCTAGACCACTCCCCTTAAATATTGAAAAGAAGTCAATGTCTTAACCTTGATTCCTGAGGTCAGTATCTTAACCTTGAATGAAAAAGAGAACACTGTCCTTAGGTGGATCATTGAGACAAGCACATCAAGTGGAGAGAAAGACAAAAATTAAATTTGATTATCATCCTTTTTCCATTTCCTAGGAAAGTCTAGCTTTTGTTTTTTCTACTTTGCTAAAGGGAAAAGTCTGGAAAGGGGATAGGCTAGCTAGAGAAATATCATTTCTTAATATTCCTAGAGAAACTAAAAAGAAGGTTTTTAATATGTATAATTTGAAGCATATCCTAAATTTACTAATTCTAGGGTCTCAATTTTGAACATGCTAATCAATAACAAAACACATACTTTAGTTGTCCAAATTGTGTTCTCTGTGTTTTGTTTTGTTTTGTTCAAATTCAGCATGACAGTAATACAACAAAGACTTTTCTCAATGCTATAATAGTATGCCAACTGATATATAATAGTATGCCAACTAGTTCCACCTTGAAATAGGCTACAGAAAACAATGTGAGTAGAGATAAAACCTAGTGTTTTAACATACTTCATTCTCTATTTATTAGCCAAGCAGTAGCCAGAAAGGAATGCAGATTAACAATGCTATCTGGGATATAAGTGTTCCAAATTTAAAGGCAAGTAGAACTTTATTCTACTGGTCAGTTGGCAAGTAGCTAGTCTGATTGCCTTAGCCATAGCTATTATAGAATAAATATTCTAAATCCAAAACTCATTCTTCCAATATAGCTATTAACTTCATTTGGAAAGTGTATTTGTTGAGCCCAACAAATATTATCAAATATTACAATTATATCCTCATCTCAAAATTTTCTGCATACTGCATACTGGTTGTAAAGGTCAGGAAGTCCACCTAATTCCCTATTCTATACCAAATACCTGGCAGGAGCTCTTATTTATGCTAGGATACCCTGGGAGGAGTTTGAGCTCTCACATATCACAAAAGACTACTCAGTCCCATAATGCATCCTTTCCAGGGTTCCTGAGTCAGGGCCCACACTCCCTTCATGGGGCCATAAGCATGTGAGTGGCTGCACTGTACTGCACTCTTAGCCTGACAATGTCCACACATAACTTCATGGTCGGAGATCAGTAAACATTCTTGATCTTTGAACTGTCCAGCTAACCTTGATGAGTGAAATCACTACATATGGCCCCATAGTTGGTCATCCAAAAAATCCAGAATCTCAGAGCATTGCTCTATCTCATTAGAGTTTCTCAACCCATTGCATTTATTCACTCAGTGAGGAAAGGATAGTATTCATGTGGTTTGCCTAGTGTAGAAATCACGTAGAGCATACCCCAAATCACCTAGAACTGATTCGACAGGCTCTTCTCAAAAAAAAAAAAAAAAATGGTTTTTCTAGTGGCCTCTTTCTAGGTCTTTATGTACATTTCAGACTGAAATTGAAGGGTTGGCTTTATCCAGAAGTATCCAATTAAAACTTACTAACATCTCCTAAATAGAAAGGATGCTCAAGTACTAGTCAGGTCTAGTTAAGTTGTATAAGAGAGCTGTAGTCTTAGAGCAATGAAAGCACTGAGAAGCAACATGTTTTGAAAAAGATAATTTTCTATCCTGATTTTAGATCCTGTAGTTAGTAATATTCTCCCATTCTCAGATCACCAATACCAAGAAAGAATGTATATGGTCACCAAGGATAACAATTTATTCATAACACTTTATAGAAATTTTGCACACTCAATGGATACTTAATAAGTACTTCCTTAAAGAATTCATTTATAGCCAGCAAGGTAAGAAGGTTCATAACAATAAATAAAGATAAAGTTCATAACAATAAATAAAGATAAAGTTCATAACAGTAAATGCAGCTGGCTTCCCTAATATGGCAATACAGCTCACATCTTCAGTTAAACCTTTTACAATTCCTTCCAGAAAGGCATTCATTGGAATTTGCCCTGGAGATGACAGGCACACTGTAACTCTAGACTCTGGACACAGGAGAAGTTCCAAGCACGGTCTCTTGCTACTTTTTGCCTCAAGCTGTCTTAGAAGCAAAGGTTCATTTAGACCGGAATACATTAACTAAGTGTTGAAGACTAGCTTTCAGCAGTTTGGTATTAACAGTAATTTGGTTACAAAAGTCTTTCAGTAGTTCCCCGTATGCCCGCTTTGAAGGCTACTTTAGTGGCAAAGTAAACTTTCATTCATGGTCAACCCACACACACACACACAAACACACACACACAATAACAAGAATAGGTTGATCATTACAGCACTTAGTTACTTGGAATGAATCAACTTGTAAGATAACAAAAGAAAAAAAAAGATCCAACAGGTATGCTGCTCTTCTCTTTATTTTAATAGCTAGCAATTATATAGCACAAAAATTAATAAAGCACCTGACACTCATTAGAAGCTTATAAAGTAAGTACTATCATTATCCATATTTCACAGATAAGAAAATCAAGACCAAAAGCAATCAGAGAACTTGGACAGGGTCACACAGCTAGTGTGTCTGGCAGAATCTAAAATCAGGTTTCTTTGACTCCAAGGCCACTCTTCTATTCACTGAGCCAATTAGTTAAACTTTGTCTTGGCCTGGTTTCTCCATTTTATATGCTTGTTTGGATGAGGTAGGTACAATAATACTGAAATATAGTGTTACTGTTGGTTTAGTAAAGATAAATTTTCAACCAAATTTTTATACTGCAACTGCACCAATTAACACTAATTTTCCCCTTTTCTCAATCATATTATACCAAACACTGGGGCCAGGTAAGGAAGAATTGGTGACAAAAAACAAGCCTTGTAGAAGATCAAGATCTTATAGAATGTCTAATAGAGGCTATAAAGAAGTAAAATTAAGTCTTAATTGCTATGTCTAGAGGGTGAAAAAGGCTACAGATCTTGACTAAGGAGTTTGCACAGATATCTTTTTTCTATATTGCCTGGCTGTTTCCAGGATGGCCTTAGACTACTCTTCTGAAATATCCCTCTAAATAGACTTCATGCAGCCTATGATGGTTTAGGCACAGATTAATTTTATATTAAGTAAAATTGTTTCTGGCAAACTAAAACAGAGTACTTTTTAAAAATATTTTTAATCAAGATATTCAAAATGAGGGAGGTGATGGTTCTCTTGTACTCTACCTTGATAAGACTATATCTGAGGTATCATATTCAGTTCAGGGGGCCAATCTGAGGAAAGAATTTGAAGATCCGTGTCCAAACGAAGGTGAAAAGAATGGCAAAAGGCCTCAACATCATGCCATATGAGGATCCACTGAAGGAACTCGGGATGTTCCTGGAGAAGAAAAGATACAGGAGGAAAATGAAAACTGTCTTCAAATGTAGAAGATAGATTAGATCTGTACTACTTGGCCCCAGAGAATAGAATGACAGGAGGAACGATGAGTAGAATTGTATGAATTTTATTAGGTTTATTGAAAAGTAAAACTTGCTAATTATTAGAGCTTGCCAAAAATGTCATCATTTGTGCAAGAGGTAATGACTTCACTAGCAGTGTTCAACAAAAGCCTGGAAGACCACTTGTGGAGGAAGTTATAAAGAGGATCCTTGGATAGGTATAGGTTAGCCTGGATAACCTCTGAGAGGCCTTCCAACTCTGAGTTTCTGTAGTTCTGGTGCCTCTCCAAATACATCCAGCAGAGAACCTAAGACTGGGGAGGAACAATAAATACAGAGAAATGAAATCTTAGCCTCCTGACTATCAAATTTTCTCTTGCCTTTCCACTTAGGCATGATCAGCAACCTGCTGGGAGAGGGAGCTGTGGACCAGTTGACCAAAATGGTGTTGGTCAATGCACTCTACTTCAAAGGCCAGTGGAAGCTACCTTTTCCAACCAAGGGCATCCACCATCGCCTCTTCCACAAATCTGATGGAAGTACTGCCTCCGTGCTCATGATGGCCCAGACCAACAAGTTCAGTTGCAGTAAGTGCAAGTGCTCCTCTTTTTTCCTCCAGGACTGAATAATTCCATTATTCAGAATTGGGATCTAATCTGACAAACTCAGAAGTTCTGAGTTCTCAATCAGAGCTTTCTCCACTCTCTCTCTAGCTCAAAAAGAGTTTTTTTGCACCCAGAAAATCTTGCTGCAATGGTGGTGGAGGATGGGAAAGCCTGGATAGATAGTACTTAAAGAGTAAATTCTCAGGTTATAATTAGGTGGGGAGGTAGGAAGGGAGGGAAAAATAAAAAGGCTAAGAGAGTGCTGAAATCTAAAGATATGTGATGGTACTAAGACACCCTTGTGATAGACAAAAGAATAGGAGGAAGGAAGGGAATGGAAAATGAAAGAAACTTAAAAGTGAATTCCAGGAATGTATATGAGAAATTTTAAGAATGGGAAAAGTGGAGAGATTCTCCCCTAGGGTGGGGTTGAGTTGTAATGACTATTTTCATCATCAGTAGACCTTTTTCCCATGTAATTTTCTTTTTCTTTCTAGCTGAGTTCTTGACCCCCAGTGGGCACTACTATGACATTGTGGAACTGCCCTATCATGGTGACACCCTCAGTATGTTCATTGCTGCTCCCTATGAAAAAGAGGTACCCCTCTCTGCCCTCACCAGCATCTTAGACGCCCAGCTCATCAGTCAATGGAAGGGCAATATGACCAAACTGCCCCGTCTCCTGGTTCTGCCCAAGTAAGTCCTACCAACTTTGGCCCCTCACATGTTTACCATCTGTATCAGTTCTTGGTAAATGCTCCCTGTCCCCGATATAAATTCAGGATTATCTCGTGACTTCCTAATCTACTAGTGCTTCCCCAGGCTCTGAGACTCCAATAAAAATTTCTGGTGGTCTGGAATGGATTAAAAACAGTTCCTCCCCTTTGCTTTTGGTGAGGTGTAGAGAGAAAAGAGGCTATTGGAGCCTGCCTCTGGTTTCTTGCCCCCTAACGCCCAAAGTAAGAGCCAGTCACAAGAAAAGAGAAATCTGTAGTGGGAGACTGAGGGTGGGGTAAGTCTGGGCCATCAAATTTTTTTTTTAATATTTTTCCAACTCTTGAAAATTTTAAAAGAAAAGGGTGTGTGAGTATGTGTGTGTGTGTGTGTGTGTGTGTGTGTGTGTGTGTGTGAGAAACATCATCTTTTCTATCAAATTAGTAAACCTAACCTATAGTTCTTAGGTAAAGCCTCAGTTAATAAAGCAAATTTATAAAAATCCTTCTAAAGAGGGAAGAGGGGGTGATTAAGGCTGATGTTAGGTAATTTCAGAACTCCAGGGAAACCTCTCCCTGTGTCTGTCCCACTTTTTCAGATGATTTCAATAGCTGACGGACTTTTTTGTGCTTTTCTTTTTTTCCTTCTTTTTTTTAAAAAACAAAAATTGTGGCAATCAGTCATGTCCTGGTGAGAACTGAAGAGCTCAAAAGCCTCCCTGCTTGAGCTCTCTTCATGACTGACTCTAGAAAACAAAATCTACAAACGAAATTTTTTTTCTGAGATGTCCTTTCACAAGAATTTGCCCTTGACTCCCAACCAGACTGGGTAAAACAATGCCAACATTTCTGGCTTATTTAAGAAAAGGGATCAAACATTGGCCATGATTTCCAGACCTATATATTTATCCCTAATTCATCTCCAGAACTCCAGTCCTATATTTTCCGAATGCCTGCTAGACATCTTCTACTTGGATGTCCAATCAGCATCTCAAATTCAACATATACAAACCAGATCTAATTCTCATTTCCTCTAAAGTTATCCCTCCTCCAAACTCTTGTTTGTGTTCAGGGCACCAACAGGTATCTAGTGGAGGTACCTTGGTGTTAAACCTGACCCATCTTTGTAAACTTGGGAGATTTCTGACTTTTACCTTTCCCTCACTCTAGTCACAAAGTCACGCTAATTCTACCTCCACAGCATCTCCCACATATACCACCCCACCAGCAAGGCTTTCATCACCCTTCTTCAAGACTATTATCATAGTCTCCTAATTAATCTGTCTCCCCAACTTCAATTCTCAATCCTTCACACAGATGTCAAAATAATATAACGAAAGCACTGGTAGGAAAGTGTCACCTTCCTGATAAAAAATGTTCAGTGGTTCCCTTCCATAATCTGGCTCCCACCTATTTCCCATCTTTGTCTCACATTGCTCTTCTTCATGCTTTCTTATTCTAACCAAATAGGTCTGCCAGTTGTTCCCCAAACTCAGCAGTCTATCTCCTTCCAGTATCTGTGCATTCCTACAAGCTATCCATTACATTTGGAATGCATTCCTTCTTCATCTCTCCCTTTCAGACTACCTATATCCCTTCAAGATTTAGCTCATATAATTGTCAGTGCCCTCTCCTACCTCAAACTTTTCTTCTAACACTTTTTATCATCTCTCCACTGCCTCCTTTAACCTTTACTTCTCTAATACAATATAATATGCCCCATGTTGCTTCCTCCTAGCGAAATATAGGTTCCCTGAAGGCAAGGACTGTTTTGTTTTTGTCCTCATGTTCCCAGTACCTAGCACAGTGACTTGCTTTAAAAATGCTTATTGAGTGAAGAGACTCATCAATACTAGAAATCTACCTCTAACTTGGATAAACAGATAAATATCTCACTCTCCAATCTTTCAACAAGTTCTATATTCTATATTATCTCTTGGCAATGAGGACAATAGATTAAGAACAAGGCTTTTGGAAAGAGTACCAACTTAGAACCTTGGGTTCTGCTAATGATGTGTGTCCTGAACTTGAGCTAAGTCCTCTGATTTTGCAGGTTTTCTCTGGAGAGTGAAGTTGACCTGAAAAGGCCTCTGGAGAACTTGGGGATGAAGGACATGTTCAGGCCAGGGATAGCAGATTTCACAAGACTTTCTGGTAAGGAATCCTCTATGCCTTGTCTTGGTTCTCCTCCCTACCTCTAGGAACTTAAATCATCTGTGAATACGAAGAGGGGGTAGGGGAAAGTATCATCCAGAAAACGGGCTGACTGGCCCTTGTATCTATTTCTGTCTCAGACCAAGAAATACTCTATGTGTCCCAGGCCTTACAAAAGGTGAAGATTGAGGTGAATGAGAGTGGTACTGTGGCATCCTCAACCACTGGTAAGTCTGGCTCAGCCAGAAATGAGGGCAGGGACAAGTGGGGCAGTTCTTGAAATAAACTCCAGGCACTGAGGAGGTTTACTCCAAGATATAGGAAACAGTTAACCAATCCCTTGTACCCCTAGGATGAGTTAGGGGGTGGCCTACTCTCCCAAGTCCATCTCAGTGTGGACTAAACTTACTTCCCAGGTCAAAGTAGTCCTCTCTTCACAAATCAGTTCCTTCTCTGATCAAGGAAGGAAACAGCTCTCATTCACACATTCAATCACATTTCTCTGTCTAAAAGAGAGGGTCCTGCTTTCCCCAGGATCTGACTTCGTACCTCTCTAACTCCTGTAGGACCCTGGTTATTGAAAAGTCTCCAAAAGACTAGCTTTTAAACAGTGAGTAATAAGTATGTGGAGGAAAAAAAGGAAAAGAAAGACAGTTCTTTGGTCAGAAGACCTGGATTCAAATCCCACTTCAGATGCTGACTGCCTGTGTGACCCTGGGCAAGTCACTTAATCACCTTTAGTTCTCTCCCCTATAAAATGAAAGAGTTGGACTAGATAACCTCTAATATACCTTCTCGCTCTAGATCTATGATCCTATGAACCCCAAGACATGGTACAGATTGATAATACGTATAATTTCAAAAAGAGTCTTTAGATAAAGTCACAGGTAATAATAGGTTAAGAGAAGCCAGGGTATTTCAGGGAATATACCTAATTGTTCAAGGTTATTGGGTTTGGGTTTTTTTGGGAGGGAGGAAAACCTAGACCTTCTCCCAAACCATTCTTCAGTCCTATTATCAAGGCAGAGTAATAAGCCAGACAGACCAATTATCTGGCATGGTTGCAACTCTTATGTTCTTATACTTTAAGAGGTTTGTTTTTGTTTTTGTTTTTCTCTTCCAGCCATTGTTGTCTCTGCTCGAATGGCTCCCCAGGAGATCATCATGGACAGGCCCTTCCTCTTTGTAGTCAGGCACAATCCCACAGGTGAGGGATTAAAAAAATACTGCAACACTCTGAAGGTTGTTCCATTCTGCCTTGGACAAGGCAGACTCAAAAAGACCACCACTGTTCTTAGAGAGTATCTAAGGAAAGTTATCCTTAGTTACACTTATCTTCCTACTAGGTGAGGCATTATGATGAAGTAGAAGAGTGCTAGATTGGTAATCAGGGTCTGAGCTCTGCTCTCAGTTCCGCCATCAACTAGATATCAGCCAACAGACAAGTTATTCATTCTAAGCTTTAT